TGAGACTCTGTCTTAAAAAAAAAAAAAAAAAATCATCATTGAGCCAACGGTCACAACTTCTGTTTAGGACTTAGACAAGACATTTGGTGCTAAAAGAAATATCTTGATCTAAACCTAAGAAGTGGCACTTTTAATTTGTCCAACTTCCATTAACAAAGATAAAATCTTCACATTTAAATGTGCAGATAGGGACACTTACTTGATTGGAGAAAACTTGGACTAGACAGTTAGTCTCACAAGATCTTAATAGGCCACCCGTAGTTAGCATCAGTTCACTTAGAACATGAAGACAGGAAACACAGTATGCTGGCATGGCAGCACCAAATGAGTTTCTTCAGTGAGTCCTCACGATGATCCATGCGGCAGTCTAGGGTCTACTCTATTCCCCCTCTTCCCCTTCGGTGACAGCTGAGGTTTGAGGGAATGATTCCAGGCAAAAGGTGAGCACAGGTGCCATACCCTGGCTTAGAAGCCTTAGTCCATGGACTGGGTAGCTTATAAACACCAGAAATTTATTTCTTACAGTTTTGGCATCTGGGAAATCCAAGATCAAGGTACCAGCAGATTTGATGTCTAGTGAGAACCCACTTTCTTATAGATGGTACCTTCTTGTTCTTTCCTCACATGGTGGATGGGCAAGGCAGTTCTCTGGGGCCTCTTTTCTAACACTAATCCCAATTTTGAGTTTCTGCTCTCATGATATAATCATCTTCCAAAGTCTCCCACCTCTTAACACCATGACCTTGAGGGTAAGGATTTCAACATATGAATTTTGGGGGGGACACAAACATTCGAACCATAGCAAAGCCTCATACCCCACAAGAGCCATTATCTCTAGTAGCAGTCCTCTGGGCACAGCTTCCAGGGCCCTAGCAAGGGAACTGACCAATTGCAAGAACTCGCTACACTTAAGGAAGCCCAATGCTGTGACTTCCCACCAGATACTTTACAGACTTTACAGTTCTGATGCAGTTTATTAAATAGATGTTTTTTTACTATAAGTAATGTTGCCTGGAAATACAGAGGATATGCCACTTTTACCAAGTTTCCAGAATAACGGGGCCAGAAAGTTAACTAAATTTGTCTATAGAGAAGGAGAAAAAGTTTTTTTAACCCTTTACCCATAAACAAGTCTCAGATACATGGCATCATCCTAGTGGGTGTCTCTACTTGCATCTCCAAACTTCAGAAACTCAGAAATTCTTACAGGATTTTTTCAACAGAAAGGAACGGAAAAAAAGTATCAGTCTTCATAAGGGAGTCAGTTGTATTTACAGCTATGTAGGCAGATATCTTATCCCTTTTTCCAGAGACTTGAAAACATCCAGGATTTGCTGCTCTTTAACACCATTCCTTGTCATGACTACTCTGAACAAGTACAATACAATCGTTCATATCAAGCAGCCTCAGACCTTCACCATCTATCTACTCTGACAACCAGTTTGGTTTGCTCATTCAGGTTTATGAAATTGAGTGAGCAATGATGAAGGATAACAACCAGCCTGGCAAATCTGAACTCACAGGCATCCCTCCTGCACCCTTTGCTCTTTGGATTTCTACAGATTGAAGTAACTTTTGATAGTGATGCCAATAGTATCTCAAATGTGTTTGCTTTATTTATTTTGTTTTTTAAAAGTATGGAATGCTTCATGAATTTGCATATCATCCTTGCGCAGGGGCCATGCTACGTGCTTTGCTAGGGGCTTCCCTGGAAGTGGTTGCTCATCCTCTGGAGGCGTCTCTTCTGGAACCATGACTACAGAAACAGACTAAGCCAACCAAAACACAACATGAAGTTTGAGCATGAACACACATTCATGAAATTTGAAGGACTCTGATTTGCAGGAAGTCAATTCAGTGGTAGTTTTTTTTTTTTAAATCATATTTGAGCTGCTTTTAAATATATTGCTAGACATTCTGAATACCTAAATATACACAAGGAAACAGAGTACAGTTGTACTTTATCCATAGGGTAAATAAGTGGAAAGTGTACTTCATGTCAGAGAACAAAGCATTTTAAAATTGGCATCATTTGAAAAAAAAGAGTGAGCCTAGAGCACTTAGTATAAGCCTACTCCTTCCCATGTCCTATCTCTCACAGCACTGCCGTCTTGAGAACACGAGAACTGGTCTCATTGTGCCCCTCACCCCTGTTTATGCCATCAACATGAGAAGTCCCACATTCCCGTTTCCACTGGACTACTGTGTTACCATTCCCTTCAGGCTCTCCATGTTGCCATTTGTCATTTCCCTATTCCTCCTCTGCCCCAGTGACTCCTGATACCCTTCCATTGTGCCTGTGAAACTGATAATCTTTCATAATCCCATGCAGCTTCAATATCTTCTCTGAATAGAGCCTTTACCTCCTTGTCCTTTTTATTTTTTAATTTTTATTTTTCTAGAGATGGGGTCTCGGTGTGTTGCCTAGGCTGGTCTCGAACTCTAGGCATCAAACGATCTTCCTGCCTCAGCTTCCCAAAATGTTGGGATTACAGGCATGAGCCATCAAGCCTGGCCAACTTCCTTGTTCTAACTAAAACCTGACTATTTCGTGAAGACCCTATTTCCTTTGTAGGCTTCTTAAGTGGTAGATATTTTTCTCACATCTGGTGAGCCTGGAGATGAAGTTTGTGTCCCTCTTGATACTTGTTGTCACTTTCAGACTCTTTGCTCTCCTTCCTGTCCTTCCTGTGTAAACCCCTTCCACCCTAGCTTTGAACCTCACGTCATGTGACTCTGCCAGCTCTGCCCTTTTTTATTGCAGTCACCTACTAACTCCCAGATCACTTCCCCTCATTTTTTTTTTTGAGACAGAGTCTCACTGTGTTGCCCGGGCTAAAGTGAGTGCCGTGGCGTCATCTTAGCTCACAGCAACCTCAAACTCCCGGGCTCAAGCGATCCTCCCCGAATAGCTGGGACTACAGGCATGCGCCACCATGCCCAGCTAATTTTTTCTATATATTTTTAGTTGTCCAATTAATTTCTTTCTATTTTTAGTAGAGACGGGGTCTCGCTCTTGCTCAGGCTGGTTTCGAACTCCTGAGCTCAAACGATCCTCCCGCCTCGGCCTCCCAGAGTGCTAGGATTACAGGCGTGAGCCACCGCGCCCGGCCCACTTCCCCTCATTTTTTAAGGATTTTGGTTTGATTGACTCTCATTAACACTACTCCTATCTTAATTATTGATTTCAAAATCCACACAGATGTCCATTTTAACACTCAGGCCTGTCAGTTCCTTGAATTTTTCTCCTCCAGTGGTATTTTCCTTGGCACTATCTCAGCCACTCATTCTAAGAGTTATACTCTATCTACATACACATTAGCAATATCAACAGTTCAAGCACTGTATAATGCTACCTTTCAAGCATTTCTATCTCTGATCTCCTATCTTTCCAATTACTCCTGCTAGTACCTCAATTCCAACAACCCTTCAATCCTAGGACCTATCACCTATTGATCATACTGTCCTTCACCTCCCCTCCCCCATCACATCCTCCCTCACTTAACTAGCTGAAATTTGATGGTAAATTACATAGCTACTACCTTGAATACACCTTTGAAACACTTGCCCTTTTCTTACTTCATGATATTTGCTTGGCAAAAGACTTATCCTGGTTAAATTGAATTTTTTGCTTGTGCTTATATAACTGGATATAATTGGAGAAACAAACACGTAGCCATAATTTTGTTTTAGGTTAGGTTCCTGAGAAACAGACCATGAGAAAAAAATTATGCACCACAAGTGATTTATTAAGGAAAGTTTGGGGAACTAATAAGGAATTGGGGATAAAGAGGGTCAGGGAAAGGGAGAAAGCCAAACAAGGTGTGATCTAAAACAAAGACCCTTAGAGCAGCAGTCCCCAACCTTTTTGGCACCAGGGCCCGGCTTCATGGAAGACAATTTTTCCACAGATGGCTGGGGGGCAGGGGGAACGGTGAGGGCGGCGGAGCTCTGCAGCCTGGTCCCTAACAGGCCATAGACTGGTACCTGTCCACGACCCAGGGGTTGGGGGCCACAGCCTTAAAGGGTAGCTATAGCCTGATCTCACTGGGGTGGGGGTGGAGGTATGGGGGGCAGCTCTGCAGTGTCAGAATTTAAAATATGACTCTGAAACAAGGCTAATGGAGATTTTATACTCCCAAATCACTATTGGTTAAGGTCCATATCAGGAACTACAACAGTTGGGGCAAAAGTGGCTCCAGTAGCACGAGGACAGTTCACCAACACAGAGCTGTAAATGTTGGCTACTAGAAGCAAAACCCAGCAAAGGCAGAGTATCCATGGAAATAGTAATAAAGGATCCAAAAGGATCTGGGCAAAACATCAATAATGTCTACTAAAACAATTATTCTTGCTTCAAATTCATGACCATGAACCTCACAGTGAACCCCACTTGGCAATCACATTTCCTTAGCCTATTCATTCTCCCATGCTCTTAGGTGACTATTTCATAATTTCTCCTCTCCCCTCAAACCTCAAATATCTTCTTCTCCATTTTCACTCTCAGCTAATTACCTAGCTTACTATTTCGACAAGAAAATAGGAACAATCAGATGAGGACTTCCATAAGCTTATACTACTCTATCTACTGCATATATATTATCTTCCCTCCAGAGTCTATAAATGGATGTTCACATGCCTATCTAAGGAAAACCCCTTCTCTTTTGAATTAGATTCCAGCCTTCTTAAGAACTTCTTTCCAGGCCTCTCTCCTGCACATTTTTTTCTGTCTTCTAGATCACTACCATTAGCTACAAACATGCCGTTATTTTTTTAAAGCCTTCTCTTGTCCTCACTTCCTCCTCCACTTAAAACATTTCTATCCCCATTTGTTGAAAAACTCCTGAAACGTTGTTTACACTCCCTGTTCCAATTCTCCTCCTCCTATCCTCTTAAACCCATTTCAGTCAAGCTTTTATTTCCATCTTTCCTCTAACACTGCTTTTCAAAGTCACTAAAACCAACCATGGTTTTTCCCTATCTCTCTGGCCACTCCTTCTCAGACTCTTTTGTAGATTCCTCTTCATTCTCCAACTTCTTAATATTGGGGTGCCTTAAACTCAGTCTCTAAATCTCTTTATGTAGACTCATTTTTTAGGTAACCTCTTTGATCTTATATTTTTAAATATCTTTGTCAATGACTCCCAAATATCCTTACCAATGCTTGATATTGTCAGATTTTTAAACAAAATCAATCTGGTGATGTGAAATGGTTTCTCAATGTTTTCTGGAATTTGTGTTCCCCTTATTACTGCCCTGGAATGAAGTTAAGCATCTTCAAGTCTTTTGCCCATTTTTCTGTTGGGATATTGTAGTTATTTATATTCTGGATATTAATCTTTTAACCATTATAGGCACTGAAAATATTTGCCTTTGTGTTTTCACTTCAAGAAGTCTTTTAATGAAAATTTATCAGTCTTTTCCTTTATGGTTTCTACTTTTGTCTTTTTAAAGAATTTCTTTCTTCTTTAATCCAAAGTTATAAAATTCATATATGTCTTCCAAATATTTATAGTTTTATCTTTCACATTCAAGGCTGTTATCCATCTGAACTGTGTGAGGTAGAGTAAGGCATCTAATTTCTATTTTTTCATACAACTAGATAACAATTATTCTGGTATGATTTCTGGAAAAGTCCTTCTCTTTCCCCCACTGACTCTCAATGTCATCACTGTCATGTATTATTCAATAAGCATGTGGGTCTTTTTGTGAACTCTCCCTTTTATTTCACTGGTCTATCTTTGTGCTACTATCATGCCATCTTAATTCAAATTTCACATTTTGTTGTTCTTTAGGAGTGTTTCTTCTATTCTTAGCCCTTTACTCTTGAACATAAAATTTAGGAACAATTTTTCAAATTAGAGGGAAAAATTAGGATTTTGATTGCCATTGAAATGAATTTATAGATAAGTTGGAAGAAAAAGAAATATTTACAATACTGAATTTTACTATTACAGAACATGGCATCTCTAAATTTTTAAAATTCTTTTTAAGGTCCTAATAAGATTTTGTCACTTTTTCTACAAAGGTCTTCCACTTCTTTTATTAGATTAATATTTAGGTAATTTATATTTTTGATGCTCTTATAGATTTTTGAAAATTATATTTTAACTGTTGCTAAAGTAGAGAAATGCAATTGATTTTTGTAGGCTGAACTTTGATAAATTCTTATCTGTGTTGACTATTGGCTCTTTCATCTTTGAATCAATTAGTTTCTAAACATGTATTTCTTAGTTGCCTTTGTTAAAATTTTGGCATTTAAAAAACTCCCACATATTGAGAATATAATGATTGATACTTTAGAATTTTTGAGATTTCCTTTGTGGCCTAACATGTCTTCAATTTTTACAAACTTTTCATGTGTTCTTGAAATGAATATGTATTCTCTGTGGGAACTATAGTTCCATACTTATTTAATCAAGCTTACATAACAGTTCTAGAAGCAATTTTTATGACACAACTAATTTCATTTATTGAGCACAATTATGGTTTATTCAGCATTCAACTTAGTTCAGAATTAAGTATCTTTCAGTTAGATAACTTTTTAAAAACCTTAAATTAGGGCTTGATGCTAAAGGGTAACTTGTCCAAACTCCACAGCAAGTGTAATAGTTGAAATTTGAACTTTGATCTTTTTTAGTTTGTTTACAACACATGGCTTCTAGGTTAAAAATCTCAGCTATTCTTTATTCCACCTTTTCCTTCATCCTCCAATATATCCTGAGACATGGGGCCTTTTAATTCTACACCACAAAACCCTGATTCATCTCCTTTACCATTTCCATTTTCACTAAAATCGGTAGTCAAAAAATATAAATGCCAGTGATAAAATGCCACCAGTATGCCGTGCCCTTTCGCCCATATTATCATACTTCATTTCATTATCAGGACCAATCAGAACAGGCATGGTATTACAAGTTACCACATTAGTTCTCAGAGTTTACTTAACACTTAAACTCCCACATAGTAAGTGGCAGATCCGGTTTTCTGAATGCCAGGACTCTTTCTATAACCTTGTGTTTATAAAAATATTTTTAGAATAAAGCTCTAAAACTTTATCTATTATAAAACATCAGACTAAAGCCAGATTCACGATGGGGAACGGTACTCTCAGGATCATTTCACACAGTTCCATACCCTCGCTTAAAAAAACAAAAATGACGCCCAAAGTGGTGCTGTGATTTGCTAAGTGGAAGAGCTAGGATTCGAATTCGGATTCTCCATCTGATGCCATTAACATGGCATCCGGGGATACCACCAATCAAACGTAATTACACCAGCTTCTCAGAAAAAGATCTAATGGCTGCAGCACAAAAGGTCAGAGAAGGCATCTATTTCCCACAGAGCTTCCAAACTCACTTGCCTTAGTGAATCCTCGAGGCATATAATTCCATCGTTTTACAAAGATACCTTCCGATAACAGAATGGTGAACATTATTGCGCTTCCACTACTGCCCTCCAATTGGAAAGACCCCAGCAGAATCAAATACAGGGGGATAGGCAATAGCAGCTCCTGCCTGCAGGGTGTGTTACTGCAGGAAAAGCAATCAGGATAGGGTAAATCTAGGAACCAAAGGAAGGAAAACACAACACACAAATTTGTTTCTGTTGGAGGCGAGGGCCGGTGTCGATACCTGTACTGGGCAACCGTCAGCGCGGCCCCGGGTTCGGCCCCAAAGCCAGGCAAGTGCTGGTTTAGGTAACCCTCCAGGGACTTGCAGTCGAATTTGTGCTGGGGTAGCACTTCGGCCGCATCAGCCTCGCCAGCAGCACCTCCCTCCATGACCGCCGCCATAAGCCACAGAAACGCAGAATCCACAGGTCCCGAAAGTCAACGTCTGTCAGGGTTGCAGCAGCTCCGCCCTATAGCGAGGCGAGGACTGGCTCCAGCCAATCACGCACGCTCCAAGCGCGTTGCTGAGCAACGCCTGCCATGAATCTCGTGACCTAAGATCTAGTCGTGAAGAGCCAGAAGAGCCCAATGTGTGTTCTGATTTAAATTCTTCGGTCAGCTTCAGAATTGGAGACCTCAGTTTTAAAGAAAGCAAAGCCACAGTCATCGTTACAAGAGCCGAATTTAATGCACCGGCAGGCGGAAGACCTCTAGGGTCCGTTTCAGAAAAGGGCCCGTCAGGACCTCGAGCCCAGGAATAAAAGATCCTGTTTCTCCTGGCCGCCCGCTTAGAAAGGCAACATCGCAGGACGCCTGCTCTGGACACTTATGACCCCAGTCCTGCCGCGGCCTGGTCTAGCCGATCCAGCGAAGAAGGAAGCAAAAAGAGACGGGTTTTTGGTGAGGGGGAGCGATGTCGACGACGCACCGGAAACGGTACCGTGGAAAGCCCTTGGGAGTGGCGGAGACGTGTCTGTTTGCTAGGCGCTGGGAGCACTTCCTCAGGGCTCTGGGCTAGGAAGTCGGCGGCTGGGTGCCTCCTCACTTACCTCTCCGGGGCTCAGCCGAACAGCGTGGGGCGGCGGCGGCGACGAAGGCCGGGGCTGGGAGCGTTGGCGGCCGGAGTCCCAGCCATGGCCGAGTCTGTGGAGCGGCTGCAGCAGCGGGTACAGGAGCTGGAGCGGGAACTGGCCCAAGAGAGAAGTCGGCGGGTCCTTGGGGGAGGCGACGGAGTGGGCGGCCGGGCCCGCATCGAGAAGATGAGCCCAGAGGTGGTGGATTCCAATCCCTACAGGTGACCTGCGTCGTGGATCAGAGGCGTTGCGGGGGACGAACGATGTCACGGTCCCCATGACCGGCTCCCCAAGTCCGGCTCACACCGACTCGCGCTACCCTTTTCTTGGTTTGGGGGGGCGGGGTTGGGTCCCGTTTCCATATGGTCAAGGGACGCCTTTTTTTTTTTTAATCAATTTTTATTTATTATTTTTTTATTTAAGCATATTACGAGGGTACAAATGTTTAGGTTACATATGTTGTCTTTGCCCTGCCGGAGTCAGAACTTCAAGCGTGTCCATCTCCCAGAAGGGCCACGTCTTATTACTGGTCAGATGATGTTCTTTTTCTTCTTAAAAACCCCAAGTCAGTCAGCCATATGGTGCGGCTCCTGTGCCTAAGTATCCAGTTTTCTAACGCCTTTTCCTTTATTAGTCTACCTCGCTCTGCATAAGACTGATTAGTAAGAACTTAAAAAGATGACATCAGATGTAAAACTGGCTTAGCGTAAACTTTGAGTTTCATAATGGTTTCTCAGAGTATCTTAAATGGGGGTGGGGCGGGGAAGATCGGAGTTAGCCTTAATTTTGAGATATTAGGGGTGCTCCTTAACATCTCAAATCATTCGACTTTACCAGGCCTGCCCGCCCCTCTCCTTTCTTCTTTCCTAAGAAGGCTCGTTAATTCAGGAGGCGGAATATAGTTCAATGGTTAAGGGTAAGGACTCTACAGCTGGACTGATTGGATTCAGATCCCAGCTCTCTGAGTAGCTGAGTAAACTTAGGCAAGTTCTGAACCTCTTTGCTTCAGTTTTTCACCTGTTAAATGGGGATAATAGTAATAACTATCTCTGTCATAGTTGTGAAGGTTGAAAAAGTCAGTATATGTAAAGCTTTTGGAGTAGTGCTTGTACATGGTAAGGCTTGCACAAGACTTTATTGCTTAGTGTATTTAGTAGCAAGTAGTTAATTGAATTTTTACTATGTACTAAGCACTTCATATGCGTTGTCTCTTCTCACCACAACCTCACGAGATTGCTACTGTTATTTTACTCCCATTTTATAGGTGAGAAGATTAAGGCTTAGAGAGCCACTTCAGGTCATAGAAATAGTAGTAAATAATAAGACCTGGACTTATCAGGTTTGTCTTAATCCAAAATTCACACGGAACTGTCTCCTCAGTAAAAATAAATAAGCCATTAGGTAGTGTCGTTAAAAACTGGATGGTGTTAAAGTAGAGGAAATAGGGAAGATGTTATTGTTTCTCTTTCCCTTTAAAGACCATGAGAGTTTTGATTTCAAAATTGAGTTTTAGTTGTTTGTGACATACAAAACCTCAGTGGAAGTTTTAGGGTGCTTTGTTTTAACTATATTGCCAAATATGAAGGGTTAATGATCCAAAATTTTTAGATTGAATAAGCATGAACTGATATTTCCCATGAGAATTAGTAGAAACTATTTCATTTGATATCTTTAAACATTTTTAAGTTTTACAAATGAAGTCTTTGAAATTTTCCCTTCAAGAATGAAAAGCAAAGAAATATGGGTCACATATTTAAAGTCATCTTTAAGAAATTATTTTAAGGTGAGATGATCCCTTGACATTATAATTAATAATCACAAAACTTTCAGAACTCAAATGTAAACATTTAGTATTTTCTATCTAATTTACAACATTTGCCCTTATTAAAATTGCTATATAGGAGATGGCAGTTGACACCTAAACCTGTTCATTGGTATATGGAAATTTAATAAAGGTCAACCTTAATTTTTTGAATTGTTCATTCAGCAGTTATTTACTCGGCACCTTTATATCTCCAGCCCTCCTTGATGGTATTATTTACCTTGTATTGAGTATTTCATATAGGTAGTCATTGTGGATACAAAGTAGACATGGTCTTTTCCCTCCAGAGCTTGCCAGATGAGAGTGAGATAGAAAGGTAAACATGCAATTGCAATACCAGTGGTAAGAATTATGATAGGGAAAGTACAGGGTTGTTGAAAGATACAGGAAAGCAGTTTGTATGTGTTCAACACTGTTTTAATTTCATTAAGTGATACAAAGGAAATATAAAGCCTCTGACCCTCAAAGTCCTTTTTGCTTTAGTTTGGGAGACTAAATGCATGTGAAATAATGATCCAACAACACAAGTAATTGTGAAATTGTGTGGTATAGAATATAATTATAAAAATGTGGAGGGGCAAACAGAAGTTTGAGATTAGCAAACCTGGTTTCAAATCCTGGCTCAGAAACCCAGCTCTGAATACTGTTTGCCAGTTAGCTGATCTTGGGCAGTTGATTAACCTGAATCTTTTGCCTCATCTGTAAAAGGGGGTTGCTATACATTTTTCTTAAGTTTGTTTATAAAGATTGAAGGGAACATCAAGGTAAAGATGGCAGATTGATCATAGGAATTTGCTATCGCTTTCTACCCAACCCCACTAAACTCACAGTAAAGGAATTTTTAAAAAGGAAACCCCCATTGAAAAAATAAAGTGTTCCTATTAATAATTGGTGGGGGAGGGTTAGGTCCCTGTGCTTGAAAATTTTGGTAACACAATTTGGAAACTAGAAAATGGATAAATGAAAGATAACTGATTTTAATAGATTCAAAGAAGTTGAATGTTAGACTTACAACCCAGTTTGTAACAGAATCCCTCAAAAGGCTCAGGAATAGGCACAGGTACTTACAGAAGGACTTAAGGTAGGGCTAAAAAACTTTTAGTTGAAAGGTGTTGAAGAACTAGAGTTTCATGTCCGCTACCTCATTGTGGGTAGTTGGGCAAATGTTCATTCTCTACCAGGAGAAGAGACTAGAGATTTATTCATTGGAGAAAGTAAAATAGAGGATTTCTATTAATAATTGGGTTAGGTTTTTGTATTTGAAGCAAGGGGTACTAAATGTTTATATGCTGAATGCTAGGGGTCCCAGCCTTGCTCCTCCACTGAACTTCCAACAGCTGTCAGCGAGGTTGGAACTTCAATTCAGTTTAGAGTTTGGAAGATTCTTCTCTAAGGAATCTGATAGAGCCAAGAAGAAAGACTGAAAGACACTGACATTGTGGATTTCTCAACTAAATACCCTGACCAGCTCATCCTACAGTGAAGCCCAAAGTCAAACAAGTATTGCTTATGACTTACCTTTATTAGTATCCCACTCTTAAATATGAACAGAACAAAGGATGAGAGAAGCTCCTAACATGAAAGAAATAAAAATAGCAACTTGGATAGACTATGTAAGAGAAACACATGCCCCCAAATTATCATTAGTATCTTCAGATATTGTACAAATGGTATAGGAACAAGGCACAATAAAAAGTACCATTCAGATGATTAAAAAGAATTGTTGCAAATGGAGATGGTAATGATACGAAAATCTGAGTAGGAGGATTGGAAAATGAAAGAAATCAGAAGATGGAGCAGAAAACTAAAATGATGGAAAATTAGAGAAAGAAAATAAGAGTAAAGGACAAGTCCAGGTGGTCCAACTTCCTTCCAAATTATAGAAAATATAATAGACTGTCCAGAAAGAGTCCAGGAAAGACCAAACAAGGAAATCCAGTTCTTCAAGGAACTTTCCCAGAACTGAAAAACTTGAGTTTTCATTTTGAAAGGGTACATTAAGTACTCAGCACAACGGATTAAAAGATTCACATTAAGAAGCCAGGAGACACTGGAGCAATACCTTAGAAATTTTGAAAGAAAATTCCAACTTTTGACTTCTGTATCAAGTTAAACTATCAAGAGTGTGTGTGTGTATATGTAGCTTTCCACAAATATATACCCTTTGTAATTTTTATAAAGAATAGAATTTTGATAAAGAACACTTTCAGACATGCAAGTTATCAAAATTTACCTCTGTCGCACCCTTTGCAAAGCTACTGGAAGGTGTTCTAACCATAAGAAGAGAACAAGTTAAGAAATAATCTATAACAGAGGCTTTCAAACTTTAATGTGCATCACAATTGCTGGAGGGCTTGTTAAAATAGATTGTTAGACTCCACATCCAAGGTTTCTGATTCAGCGGGTGATTATTGCATTTCTAGCAAATTCCCAGGTGGTGCTGCTTATGATGATCCATAGAAACTTTAGAACCACTGAGCTATAGGACACAGGAAGCAGAGGATTAATACAAGCTAAAGAAATGAAGAGAATTTGTAGTATGATGATGAAGGGAGATCCTAGGAAGGGAGCTGTATGCACAGTAAGTCGAGCAATACCATGTGAGATTCTAGGAGGTACATCTTTAAGAAGATGAAACTGATAGAATGCCTGATGCACATGAGTGCATCTAGAGGAATTTTGGACTAGTGGAGAGTTTGCATTGAATTTGTGAAAATACATAGGAAATTAAGCATAAGGAGAAACAGTTATTAACTTCAGGGGTGGGGGTTATAGAGGAAAGGATAAGTTCTAATATATTTCATGGCCCAGTTGTGAGCAGTTAACATCTAACCAAGATGACCATATAGCAGTATTGGGAGGTTGGTGGGATGGGAAATGTCTGTTTGCAGTGGGATGAAATGTGATTTCAAATAATGCCTAAAACTGAAAAGAAATAACAATGTTAGCGTTTTAGTTACAGATATGATGGTAATGGATATAAAACACTTTAAAATTTACAAAGATAATAACAGATTAGCAGTAACTAAAGTATTTAGAATCCTCAGTATACAATGGGTGCTTACTGAAAGTAGACATCATCCATTTTGGGCAGAGGCAACAAGTGAGTGGAATTCCAGCCATGAGTTTATTCTGATGATGGAGATCTGAGTGTTAAACATTAAAAATTTACTTATACTACCAAAGTATAGAAAAGTGTTGAAATTCACTTTGTCCCTTAACATTTAAGTCAGGAGGTCTCAATCTTGGCTGTACATTAGAATATATGTGGAGCTTTAAAAAAAAAAAAAATCTTTGAACACCTGGGAGACTTTTTAAAGCTACCCAGGTAATTTAGTTTCGTTTGGTAGAAGCCAGCTGTAAGAGTCTTCCTCTTTTAAACATAAGTAATGATTGAGCTTTGGTGTTTATTGTCTGTGACGATGTATGTCTATCTGTATCATTATTACCTAAAAGATTGTAAGCTTTAAAACTTTTTTCTTTGTTTTAAGCCGCTTGATGGCACTGAAACGAATGGGAATTGTAAACGACTATGAGGTATGATAAAGCTTTCCAGTTTTTTGAAGATGATTTTCAGTAAATGAAAATAATTTCTAGTGACATATCAGATGAAGACTTATTAACCAACACATATAATTTTCTATTGCACAGAAAATCCGTACCTTTGCTGTAGCAATAGTAGGTGTTGGTGGAGTTGGTAGTGTGACTGCTGAAATGCTGACAAGATGTGGCATTGGTAAGGTAAAAACATTTCTCTTTGCCTATCATATAGGGAACTACTAAGTCCTGGAGTAAATCAGGTACTAATTACGATTGTTTTCTCATTACTAATAGTTTATTGATTGGTAGTGTACCCAGGTTATTCTTTCTACTCAAAAGAGTTGAGACATACCTCCACCCATTCCAAAGCTGGTATTATGGCTAATTAGGCAAAGACCATCTAATTGTGTTCAGGAACTTTATTGTTTGAGGTAGTATATACACAATTTGGACTTAAGTGTTTTAGATATATAGAAGTTTAGGAAAGAAGGCTGTTAAATTGATAGTATGAGTGAAACACTGAAACATC